AAATCTGCCTTCCTACTTAGACAACAATTGGAATTGTAGACTCTGTCTGCTGTAACTATTTTGAAATTTTGGAGTCTGTTGAAGACTTGCAACTTCCAGGGGAGGGTTTATACAGAAAATTTCTGTTTATTTTAATCAATTTCAACTCTTAGCACTATAGCTTCTGCCTGTCCCACACCTTTCAGCCTGCAGCAGGCAACAATGTACATGCTCTCAGAGCAGCTTGCATACAGTTTTTGGGAGCCACGGCATACAAAAAGAAGACTCCTCCAAATATTGTGATCTGTGCTTTGATAACAGATTACTGCTGCTGATCACAAGGTTGCAGACAAAGGTGGGCAGCCATTGTTGTTGCACCTTCCCTATTGTGGCAAGCCCCTTTCCCTCTGGTTGAACCAACTTTAGGGATTAACAGGCTGGTGCCAAGTGAATCAGGAAACCAAGATGGCGGCGTAGGTAAACAACTGAACTGCTGCCATGCACAGCGATTTCAAAACTACAACTAAAAGATAAAACGTCTACTACCCAGAACCACGGGAAAGCTGGCTGAATGGAAGTCTTATAACTAGATGGAAAGAGAAAGGAGCACAAACACTGAAAAGCTGAGGTATAGAGGCACACAAATCGGGCTGGTGGCGGGCGACTGGGCACGCAGCTTTTTGTCAACCTGAAAGGAAACAAGCTCATGATCACTCTGAAATCCAGTTTCTGGGAACATGCAGGGGACCCAGATGCCTACAGAGAGAAACTGGACTGTCAGCCATGGGGTCGGAAAGTGAGGGTGACTTTTTTGCAGAGGTGCATGCAAGAATCATTGTTTACTGCGCTGGAGACCAGGGACGCGGGGACTTGGAAACGCGGAAAGGCAGGGAAGGCTGATGGCAGCCATCGCTCTTTGTCACACCCCAGCCTAGTGACGCCCTGAGACCCCGCCCTGTCCTAAGGTCCTGCTCCTGACATTCTACAAACCTGCCCAGGCTCCACACAACGGCTTTTGCATATAAATGGCCTGCCCTATGGCAGCTTAAGGAAATAAACTGCAGCTCCAATCAGACTGCTCCAAAACCACCAAATCCCAAGCAAAGAGAAGAAAACTGTAGTTCTTGCTGTAGCTCCTGCTGGGTGGACTCAGACAGTAGCTGACCTACACCCCATTGGAGATCCAGAAACTAGTGTATCTAGTGGTTGGTGTGAGATGACACCAGATTTCAACTACTCTCATAAGGGACACATTCAAGAGACAGACTCAGTGAGCACCAAAGCCCTACTGGAACAAATCCTGCCCCATAAATGTGTCTCCAGCACAGCAATTCTTCCGTTATAGACACAGCGGGTCCTCATAGCCAATTGGCCTGGAGGTTAGTTCCTCCCAGTGACACCAACAACAATCAAGACTTAACTACAACAAGGCTATACACGCTGTCCACAAAGGGGTGCACCAAGAGTGTCTACCTCAGGTAACTGGGAGGCTGACCCATTGAACCATATAGGGCACCCAGCACACAAAGCTACCTTACCAACTCAGGGAAGTAGTGAAAATGAGGAGCCAAGGAAATAGATCACAAATGGAAGGAATGGAGGAGAACGAACGACTGGACATAGAGTTCAAAACCACAGTTATAAGGTTTTTCAAGAATTTCCTAGAAAAGGCGTATAAATTTAATGAGACCCTCGAGGATATGAAAAAGGACCAACTAGAAATTAAACATACACTGACTGAAATAAAATAAAAAAATATTATACAAAGACCCAACAGCAGACTAGAGGAACACAAGAATCAAGTCAAAGATTTGGAATACAAAGAGGCAAAGGACATTCCTATGCAGAATCAAGAAGAGAATCTAGAAAGATGAAGATAGTGTAAGAAGCCTCTGGGACAACTTCAAGTGTACAAACATCCAAATTATGGGGGTGCCTGAAGAAGAGAGAGAGAAAGACTGAAAACCTATTTGAAGAAATAATGACTGAAAACTTCCCCCACTTGATGAAAGAAATAGACTTACAAGTTCAAGAAGCACACAGAACCCCAAACAAAAGGAATCCAAAGAGGACCACTCCAAGATACATCATAATTAAAATGCCAAGAGCAAAAGACAAAAGAGAGAATCTTACAAGCAGCAAGAGAAAAACAATTAGTTACCTACAAGGGAGCACCTATCAGCTGAATTCTCAACAGAAACTATGCAGGCCAGACGGAAGTGGCGAGAAATATTTAAAGTGATGGATAGCAAGAACCTACAACCAAGATTACTCTACCCAGCAAAGCTATCATTCAGAATTGAAGGTCAGATAAAGAGCTTCACAGATAAAGAAAATTAAGGAGTACATCACCACCAAACCAGTATTATATGAAATGTTGAAAGGTATTCTTTAAAAATAGTAAAAAGAAGAAAAAAGTAAAGATAAAAATTATGAACAACAAATATATATCTATCAACAAGTGAATCTAAAAGTTAAGTGAATTAAAAATCTGAGGAACAGCCGAAACTGGTTTGGCTCAGTGGTAGAGCGTCGGACTATGGACTGAAAGGTCCCAGGTTCGATTCCAGTCAGGGCATGTACGTCGGTTGTGGGCACATCCCCAGTGGGGGGTGTGCAGGAGGCAGCTGGTCGATGTTTCTCTCTCACCGACGTTTCTAGCTCTCTATCTCTCTCCCTCTCTGTAAAAATCAATAAAATATATTTTTAAAAATAAAAATAAAAAATAAAAATCTGAGGAACAGAATAAACTGGTGAATATAATAGATCAGGGGTATAGAATGGGAGGGGATTGATAATTCTCAGGGGGGAAGGGATGTCTTCGTGGGGGGTACAAGAAGAGACTGGACAAAAATTGTACACCTGTGGATGATGATAGCGGTGGTGTGGTAAAGGCAGAGGGTGGGGTGGGGACCTGGTGGAGGAGAGCTATGGGGGAGGGGGAGAAACAATTGTAATAATCTGAACAATAAAGATTTATTTTTAAAAAAAACAGGCTGGTGCCTTTCTCTCTCCCCTTTATTTTTCTCTTTATTCTCCTTTTGGAGCTAGACATTGAAGGCTAAGATGTTCAAAAGCAACTACATATAAACTGTATATATAAAGGGGAAATTAGAAAGTCACTATACATGCATGGGAAGGTGCAAGCTCAGAAATGACCTGAGAAGACCTTAATTTTATACAACTCATACTGATATTTGGCACAGGGGGACAGCCTACAACAGTAAGTAAGTAAATAAATAATAAATAAATAAACTAAAGAACTTTGGGGAAGGTTAATCTAATGTCTAGAGTTACTACAGTATTAAATTAAATTTTCAATTAAAAAAATTAGAAAGAATACAAAGAACAGCAAAAGGTATTGCCCATTCAAGGGGGGAAAAAAAAATAAACCAACCAGGACTTCGTTAAGAAGACATAATGGGGAATCTATAAAGGAAAGACTTTACAACTGTCTTAAAGATGCTCAAAGAACTAAAGGAAGATGGGGAGAAAATTGAGAAAATATTGTCTGAACAAAATAGGAATATCAATAAAGAGATAGAAAACCTAAAAAGAGCTGAAACCTGTTTGGCTCAATGGATAGAGCGTCAGCCTGCGGACTGAAAAGTCCTGGGTTCGATTCTGGTCAAGGGCATATACCTTGGTTGCGGGCAAATCCCCAATAGGGGGTGTGCAAGATGCAGCTGATCGATGTTTCTAACTCTCTATCCCTCTCTCTTCCTCTCTGTAAAAAAATCAATAAAATATATTAAAAAAAAAAAAAAAGAAAAGAAAACTTAAAAAGAAGTTCTGGAACTGGAAAGTATAATACTGCAATGAAATATTCATTGGAGGGATTCAAAGGCAGATTTGAGGAAGCAGAGAAAAATTCAGTGAACTTGAAGATGGGTCAATGGGAATTATAAGATCTGAGGAAAAGCAAGGAAAAAGATCAAAAAGAAGTGAACAGCCTGCAGTACCTGTGGAACACCACCAATTGGACTAACATACTCATTGTGTGAGAAAGCAAGTAGAATGGCTTCCCCCTTGATCATATTCTTTGGGCAAGGGGAGGGAGCTTGGAAAGTTAGAAAAAGTTGAGTGGAGGAGACCAAAGGATGAGAGTGCTCTGGGACCAAAACATTGCCAGTGAAAGCTAAGGTGTCATTTGTCCCATCACAGTGCTTAATGGCTGTTAAAGTTTTTTTTCTTCTGTGTGTTCTAGTACATCTCTTTGTTACTAAGAATACTTTTTTTTTTTTTTTTTGCCCCTTAGCAATATTTTTGAATTGTTAGTCTGGCCTTCTTATGAAAGTATTTCTGGTGACTGACTTAATGTTTTCAAGATGGAAATAAAATAGTTGCCTTTGAAAGAATTTTCAACAGGAGGAATCTGAATAGTTGACATTTAACATATTTAAAAATGTTTGTTATATACATTCTTGTGTAGTTATTTTGAAATGCTTGCCTTTTTTTTTTTTTTTTTGCCAAAGTTATTCCCCCAAAGTTCAGTTGTTTGTAGAACATACAATATAGTTTTATTCCCATTCTGCTGTGTAAAGGAAAATAGGAACAGATTGAGAGATATATCTGATACCTGGGTAAAAAAGAACTACAACAGTAAAAAAAAAAAAAAAAAGGCTAATGATTCTGCATGCATTCTTGAGAACTGTATTTAATTCACATATAAAAGCGACTCATTTAATTAAAATTAACTTATAGAACTTGATAATCATGATGATTGTGATCAGAATTGTTTTATGAGCTTTGTTTGAATCATTTCATTTAATTCCCACAACGACCTAGTGAGGTAAGTTCTATGATCCTAATTTTAAAGTTGAGGAAACTGAGGCAGCTAGAAAGTGGTAGAGCCAGGATTTGAAGCCAAACAGACCTCAGAGCCTCTCTTATGTTCCTTCAAAGTTTTCAGGTTCAGAGCATATTGTAGGCTAGGAGTCACAGAGTATACATAGAATGTATTTTCTATATAATGATAGAATTTAAAAAAACAATCATTTTTAAATTCTTGGACTCTCCAGGAAAAAAACTTCGACCTGGTGGAGCACAGTAGCAGGTTGCCTCAGCGTGGGAAGTCCTATGTACTTCCGTTCAGGCGCTCAGGAATTCGGAGAACCAGGATGGTGGAAACTTGTTCACAACAAGCCTCCAACAATGAAACCTGAAGGAGAGAAGCTGTCTGCCTCTGCTTTGAAAGTAAAAGGTACTGCTGTGAGAGCAGTGTAGGAGGTGCTAGCCAGCCCAAAGCTGAGCAAGGGTGAGCTCAGGAGACAGTCCCACTGTACCCGGCAGAGCTCATCTGCCTCTGGAGGAGGGACTCTGCTTGGCAGTTTTATTGTGACACGTTTTTTGTATCCTGTAAATAAATACTAAGTAAAAATAGGATAATCTCCTAATTAAGTTACCAGTTTTATTCAAGTTCCTTTGATATCTGAAAGGTTCTCTATTTTAATAAGATTTTGTTTTTAAACTTTTTATTATGGAAAGGTTTTTTAAATGTGCAGAGAGTAATATAATGAATCTCCACATACTTTTCACCTCACTTCAACAGCTAACTGCTGGCAATCTCATTTTATCTAGAACAGGGGTGGGAACATCCAGCCCTCATGTCGTATAAGGCCCAATTAATCATTTAGCCTGCACCTGCCAAGGCATTAGGGGTGAGTTAATTAAATGTTTGAGCAAATACAGCAGGCTAATTTTTAAGTTGATACTTTGGTATGGCCTGTGAATGATGTTATAAATATCAAAATGGCCCTTGACATAAAAAGGTTCCACATCCCTAATCTAGACCCTGAGTACTTTCCCCCAACCCTCTACCCATCCCACCCTTGGAGTCTTTAAGAGCAATCCTAGACACCAACATAGCATTCTTAAATATTTCAGTATGTATCTCTAAGTGGTGTGAACACTTTCTTTTTTGTAGTCTAACCATAATATCATTTTCTTTCTTTTTAAAAAAAATATATTTTATTGATTTTTTTTATAGAGAGGAAGGGAGAGAGAGAGAGAGAGCTACAAACGTCGATGAGAGAAAAACATCGACCAGCTGCCTCTTTCACACTCCCCACCGAGGATGTGCCCGCAACCAAGGTACGTGCCCTTGACCAGAATCGAACCTGGGACCCTTCAGTCCGCAGACCGACGCTCTACCACTGAGCCAAACCGGCTTCGGCCATAATATCATTTTCAGAATTTTAAGAGAATTAATAGTAATTCTTTACTGTCACACATTGGTCTGATTTTTTTTTTTAATCTAAAGAGGCTTTAATGAGCTTTTACATTTAAAAAATATATAATTGGGAAGAAAGTCAAGTAGGATTGAAGGATATAAGGTGTGGAAGTTGCTCCTCTGTACCCACCCCTTCCTGCAATTTCACTTCCAGAGTAACCACTGTTGACTCTTGTGAATGCACTTAGAAATCGTATGCACATTTAAGCATTTTCTTATTTATTTATTTTTTTTAAAGAAAAACTGTAAATGGACTCACAATATCTATTCTCCATTTTTCCCTCCACTTAATAGTAAACCTTGGATATCTTTCCATAGCAGTACATGCATATCTGCCATGTTTTCTTCCTCTCTTTTTTTATTTTATTATTATTTTTTTAATTTCAGAGAGAAAGGGACAGGGAGAGAGAGACAGAAACATCAGTGATGAGAGAGAATCATTGACCAGCTTCCTCCTGCACAGTCCCCACTGGGAATTGAGCCCATAACCCACATATGTGTCCTGACCAGGAATCAAATTATGATCTCCTAGTTCATAGGTCGATGCTCAACCATTGAGCCATGCTGGCCGAGCTGCCATATTTTCTTTTATTTCATTGCATTCCATTGAATGGTTATATGATAATTTATTAAACCCCTATTGATGGACATTTTGGTTATTTCTAGAACCTTTTATTGTTGTTATTATATAGTCCTAGCAATATAGTCCTAGCCAGTTTGGCTCAGTGGATAGAGTGTCGGTCTGCGGACTGGAGGGTCCCAGGTTCGATTCCAGTCAAGGGCATATGTCCTGGTTGTGGGCTCAATCCTCATAAATGTGCAGGAGGCAGCTGATCAATGATTCTCTCTCATTGATGTTTCTGTTTCTCCCTTCCTCTCTGAAATCAATAAAAATATATATAAAAAATAGACAACAATATAACTGTACACATTTGTGTGCATGTGCAAATTTTTGTGTGATTAATTCCTGAAAGTGTGTTACTGTATTAAGTGCATGCTCATTCAAAACTTTAATCAGTATTGGCAGGCTACCTTCCAAAAAGTTGTAATAAAATATACTTCCTGGTATGAAAATGTTCATTTCCCCATATACTTGTGGAGCATCATCAAACTTTTAATACTTATCTATTCCAGTCTGTAAAAAGTAGAGTTTAATTGTTTAAATTTCCATTATAATTTTTTTCTTGTTAAGAGATATCTAAGTCCTCATTTAAGGCATTTAATTGAACATTTCTCTATTTTGTGTGTGTTTTTTAAAATATGTTTTTATTAATTTTAGAGTGAGAGGGTGGGAGAGAGAAAAATACCAATGTGAGAAAAACATCGATTGATTGTCTCCCATATGGTCCAGGGCTGAACCTGAATTTAACCAGTGACCTTTCAGTGCATGGGACAACATTCAGCCAACTGAGCCACAGCTACCAGGGCAAACATTTCTCTATTTTGAATGTGGTAGTAAGTTTACAACAATAACTTAGCAAAAGAAACTAAAATTGAGTGGTTATTTAAAAATTGAGATATTTATTCTTTTCCTTCAGCCTCAAAACCAACTTTAGATCCCATCATTACTGTTGAGGGACTCAGAAAACGGGCGAGTCGCAATCCTGTGGAATCAGCCATGGAATTAAAAGAGAAAAGATGTCGGACTCAGGAAGCGAAGGACATCAGAAGAGCCCAGAAGGAGGCTGCTGGCTTTCTCGACAGGAGCACATCTTCGACCCCCGTAAAGTTCATAAGCCGAGGCCGCAGGCCAGATGTGATTCTAGAAAAAGGAGAAGTGATCGACTTTTCGTCCTTGAGCTCCTCTGACCGCACTCCACTGACTAGCCCGTCCCCGTCTCCCTCTCTGGATTTCTCTGCCCCCGGGACCCCTGCCTCTCACTCAGCCACGCCCAGCTTGCTTTCAGAAGCAGATCTGATTCCAGATGTGATGCCACCACAAGCCTTGTTTCACGGTAAGTCTTGCCTTTCATGGGTCTTTTTATGCATGGCCCAAGATACACAAGTGTATGTTTTCACCTTGTGTGCGGTGTGCTCTGTATTTCTTCTGTCCTGTTTTTTATGTTCACAGATGATGATGAGTTGGAAGGTGATGGAGTCATAGACCCAGGGATGGAGTATGTTCCGCCCCCTGCTGGGTCAGCCGCTTCTGGAGCAGTGCCTGGGGGCAGGAAGAAGGTCAGAGCACCTGAACATATAAAGCAGGAGGTCGACAGTGAGGAGGAAAAACCTGACAGGATGGACATTGACAGTGAAGACACAGATTCCAACACATCTTTGCAAACAAGGGCTCGAGAAAAGAGGAAGCCACAGCTGGAGAAGGACAGGAAACCCCAGGGGCCCAAGTACACCCCTGTTAGCATCTATGAGGAGAAGCTGCTCCTGAAGAGGCTGGAAGCTTGTCCCAGTGCCGTTGCCATGACACCAGAAGCTCGGAGACTGAAGCGCAAATTGATTGTCAGACAAGCAAAAAGGGACAGGGGATTACCACTTTTTGACTTGGATCAAGTTGTTAATGCTGCTCTTCTGTTAGTTGATGGGATTTATGGAGCCAAAGAAGGAGTTTCTAGGCTTCCAGCTGGCCAAGCCACATACAGAACCACCTGTCAGGACTTCAGAATCCTTGACCGATACCAGGTGAGTTAACACACATGCTGAAACTCTTGACACAGGTGTGGAGGTGGGGTAGGCAGCACCCGGGGTTGGGCACAATTAGTCAGTGACTATTCAAGTCCTAAGTAATTTTGGGAGAGAGAAAAATACAAAAATTGCTGGGCTTTATTTTTTGAAATTGTTCAGTATGAATGTCTCTTAATACAACTGGGGTATTTCCCTCTTTGGGCATTCAAGGAAGAACCTAGACATTTTTTTTAAAGTATATTTTATTGATTTTTTTATAAGGAGGAAGTGAGAGAGAGTTAGAAACATCGATGAGAGAAAGACATGGATCAGCTGCCTCCTGCACATCCCCTCCTGGAGATGTGCTCGCAACCAAGGTACATGCCCTTGATGAGAATCGAACCTGGGACTCTTCAGTCCTCAGACCGACACTCTGTCCACTGAGCCAAACCAGTTAGAGCCCTAGACATTTTCATTGAATCATTTAGTCTCTAGGGATAGTCATATATGGTTTGTGTCATGGCTCTGACTGACAGTTTTATTGAGAACATAGTGTATCAGACCGTGTGCTGAGCAGGATCTGAAAACATGTAAACATTTGTGTGGTTAGAAGACAGTGTGGAGACGTAGAAGCCAGGACATCAGTGTGGTGTCAGCGTGGCTCAAGGTGACTCAATGGAAACCAAGGCTAAGTGTGCTCCTGGAACAATGAATTCCACTCAGAGCTGCCAGAACACACCTTCACACAGCAGGAGCGAGAGGTCTCAGATTCCCTGTATCTGTGCTAGCTCTTCTCTTAACCAGCCTTCTGCTAGTTAGCTAACTGAGAGCTGTAAAGTGAAAACTTGTTTTTTATTTACTTTCCTTTGATTACAGGTGAGGTTACACCTATAACCATGTTCCCTCGTTTCTCTGTGAATTGCCCATTGGATTCTTTGGACATTTTTCTGTTTTGTTCTTCTTTGGCAACGAAAATGGGCTCTTCTCTTTGTTGCCATTGTTCTGATATTATTCAGTGTGTACCATGTGTGGGGATTTTTGTTTCATGGTGCTCAGCATTTGGTGTGTGTGGGCCCTTTCTATCTGAAAGTCCTTGGGTTCTGGAAAATCTTCTTAATTTCCTATCTTCTGTTTTCTCTGGTCTGGCTTATCAGAACACTGCTATTAGGACAAGGGTTAGCAGAACTTTTCTGTAAGGGGTCAGATAGTAAATAGTTTCTGCTTTGCAAGCCACACAGTTTCCGTTGCAACTATTTAATATTGCTGTTGTAGTAGGAAAGCAGCACAGGGAGGACATAATGAATGGACATGGCTGTGCTCCAATAAAACTTTATTTACCAAAACTGACTGGATTTGGCATATGGGCTGTAGTTTGCCCATGACCCCTACTCCAGATGGATCCCCTTAATTTTCTTTTTTTCTCCTATTCCTCATCTTTCCTGGGAAGTAGTAACCTGCCTCCTTGCATCTTAGGAGCCAAGTAAGGGAGGCCACGAGCTGACCTTTCAGCTGGAAAATTTCCATTAAGTGTCCCTGTTTTGGGATAGTACTTCCACCCTTGGCTGTGCCAGGGCCCCTGTTTCCAGAATCTCTCCTTTGAGCTTCTGCAGAGTCTAGTCTTCTGCCCATGGAAGGGAAGATCATTTTTGGATATGGGCATTGGGGACTTTAACCTCTGAAGTAAAGGACTCTCAGCTTTAATAGGACCTTGCCTTTCCGATTGCTGCCCTTTCCTGAGGCTCTGAGCTGCACATCCTGCTGCTCTTGGCCTGTCCTCCCTGCTGCCTTAGGTTTTTTCTCTCAAGTCTAAGTCACTTGGCACTTTTTCATATGCTTTTGTTGCCATCATCTGTTCTTTATTCTCGTGAGTTTTTCTTTATAATATCTGTACTTTATATTTTTAATTATGAAATGTGTCATACCCCAAGATGCCCAAGGAGAGTGCATAGTACATATGAGTATGGCTTAGAGAATAATAAAATAAATGACTGTGCTTCTAGCTACTGGTTTTAGAAACAGCATTACAAACACCTGAGAAGTCTGTATACTGCCTGCTCCCCCACAAGGGAGTCATTCTCTGACTTATTGTTATTCGTTCTCCTACTTTTTTAATGACTATATTCCTAAACATTATACTTTCATTTTTTTAAAAATGAAGTGGGAAACACTTAGCTGTGGAAGGAAATTGCCTCTCAGATGAAGGTTTCCAGAAGATAAAGCTAAGTAGTCTGTCGGGGGTTGTTGTAGATAAACTGTCCCACAAAAGGATATATTGCAGTCCTAACTCCTGCTACAGGTGAATGTGACTTACTGAGAAATAGGCCCCTTGTACATATAATTAGTGAAGACGAGATCATGCTGGAGTAGGTGGGAATGAGACACAGAGACAGGCACCTGGGGGAATACCATGTGATGACCGAGGCAGAGTGCTGGATCCACAGCAGAGGGATGCCAATGATTGCTGGCAACACCAGAATCCAAGAGAAAGCACGGGACAGACTGTCCCCCAGAGTGTTCAGAGAGCATGGCTCTGCTGACACCTTGACTTCTGACTTCCAGCCTCCAGAACTGCGAGGGAATAAGTTCCTGTTTTGAGTCACCCTATGGATACAACAGCTCTAGGAAACTCACACAGTTATGTTCTGGTTGTCCCTTCCATGAGCCCGTCCTGGAGAAGTCAGTGGTCAAGGTCACTAGGGAGCTATGGGTAACAAGCTCACCGAGGCTGCAGTGTAAACCAGAGAATGTGACAGAAGTCTGGGCCATGGCAGTGGGGTCCTCTGCACTTCCTGCTTGGGTTGACATGCTTCCTTCCAACTCGTGGGTAGGTCAGCAGTTATTTGTGGGGCAAGTATCAGCTGATCCAGGGAGAAGAGTCGGAGAGTGCTTGGTGAAGACCAGCAGGGCACAGATGCGATTCTGGGCTACTATTCCATGGGGTTAAAAGATGGTCCAGTAGTGGCAGGGATCCTCACAGCCTTTATGTTCCGTCTTCCCTCTCACTTTTTGACGTCTCCCACATTGGGTTAGGGAAGGGAACCAACAATCCATCTAGCTCCTCTTTTTGTTTAGAACCAGAATGAGCTTTGGGGAAGCTCATTTAACATTTTCCAAACTTATTTGACTTTGGGACTTCCCCCGACCCACTCACCATTTTGTTATTCAACTAATGTTGAGTACCTCATGCTAGTATGTGCCAATCACTATTCTAATGGGCAATACTGCAGTGAATTAAGACAGATAAGGTTCCCCACCCTGTGGAGTTGCCACTGGTGAGCATGGAGGTAACAATACTAACTCCCTTAACAAACAAGGTGAGTCTGCAGTGGAATGGAGGAGCAGAGGGCAGCAGCCACTTTGGACAGTGTAATTAAGGATGGTCTTTCTGTAGAGGTAACACTTGAACCAGGTTCTGATCCACAAGGAGGAGCGGGGCTGAGGAAGGTTCAGGGCAGAAGACTCAGGCACAGGACCTAAGGTAAGAGTTAGTTTGGTGTCTGAGGCTGGAACATAGTGATGATGGAGGAGGGGGGTGATAGGAGATGAGGCCACAGAGGGTAGCAGGGCTAGATTCTGCAGGTCTCAGCAAGGGATCTGAATTGTATTAGGAACTTACAGTGGAAAGCTAGATAGGAGCTTTCTTCAAGGGAGGTGAATTTAGTTTTTAAAAGGAAAATCTGGCTCTGTGTGGAGAATGGATGATATGGGATAAGAGTGGCAGGCAGCAGGAAGACTGATAGGAGGCACTGGTAGTGATCTGGACAGAAGTTGAGGGTGGTTCAGATTTGGGAAAGCAATGGCAATGGAAAGAAGTTGGGTCACTGTGTAATATCCAGAGTTCCACAGAACTCACGATGAGACATTGAGTAGATAGTATTTCGTGGGCTAGTAGTTCTATTGCTGATGTTTCAGCTGTCTATTGCTGCATTACAAATCATCCCAAAGCTTAGTGCCTTAAAACAATGCCTATTTAATATTTCTTCTGATTCTCTGAGTCAACTGGACTCAACTGGGTGGTTCTTCTGTGGCTGTGTTTAATTTTTTTTTTAAAAATAAATTTTATTGATTTTTCGCAGAGAGGAAGAGAGAGGGATAGAGAGTTAGAAACATTGATGAGAGAGAATCATCGATCAGCTACCTCCTGCACACCCGCTACTGGGGATGTGCCCGCAACCAAGGTACATGCCCTTGACTGGAATCGAACCCAGGACCTTTCAGTCTGCAGGCCAACGCTCTATCCACTGAGCCAAACTGGTTTCGGCTGTGGCTGTGTTTAGCTGAGAGCTGGGTCAGTGGAAGATACCAGTCCCCTAAAGCCTGGGCTCAAAGGTCCCAGAATGTTACTTCTGCCACTTTCTGATTGGTCAGTCACAGGCCCACCAGATTCATGGGGAGGAGAAATTGACTCTGCCTTGTGATATGAGGAGCCACATGTACCCAGTGGTGGGGAAGAACTGTTGGGGCCATATTTGGAAACTGTAACACACAGCTTTCAATTTCACTTTGAAACTTTAAAGTCCTGGAAGAATTTCAAAGTTGGCTTTTGAAAGTTTTGGTGTCCAGTTTGGTAAGATCATGAGAAAATTATAAAAGAGGGAATTTTTGCTCTTCTTCCAACAAAGTTATTTTCTAGTCACTAAGAGCAAACTGATTCTACAAAAACAACTTGAGTTTCTCAACTTTATCCATTCCTTGGCAAACCACTTAATAAGTGTGCCCTTTAATCTTCCATTTGAACTCTTCGCTATAAAACCGTAATTGCACATGTTCTGTTACTACATGACTGAGGGCCCTGGAGCAGATCTCACTGAAGAACAGACATCTCTGATCAGACTCCCAGGGCCAAACCTACCTGTTCAGCTAGGACACCGGCCTAAAGAGCAAAGACAAACCACATTCTCCTTGAGCTTCCGGTAGGGCCTCTCCACTATGGTGAATTGCTTTAGGGATGATAATCTGTACGGTCTTACTTTTGTCAAATTTACTCACTGGAATAGAGACATATTTTAATAAGTTCATATGTAAGTACTGCAATAATTGGCCCCCATGGCTGTTTGGATAACAAATTACTACTCATAAAACCCAGCCTTCATGTCACTGGTGCTGGTTAATATTTGATGAATTGACTGAAAGTGTTAGATAGATAAAATGAAATCCATAGAAGCAATAAATCCTGTGCTCAATCCTGCATTTCACTCACTTAAATGACTTTAAACATTTTAAAATTACTTAACATGCCGAAGCCGGTTTGGCTCAGTAGTAGAGAGTCAGTCTGCGGACTAAAAGGTCTCAGGTTCGATTCCGGTCAAGGGCATGTACGTTGGTTGCGGGCACATCCCTGGCAGGGGGTGTGCAAGAGGCAGCTGGTCGATGTTTCTCTTTCATTGACGTTCCTAGCTATCTCTCTCTCTCTCTCCCTTTCTCTCTGTTAAAAATCAATAAAATATATATTAAAAAAATAAAAGGATAAATAAATAAATAAAAATAATAAAATTACTTAACATTTTAAAAAATTACTTTGATTTGATTTTTTGCTAATCCTCATCTAAGGATATTTTTTCCATTGATTTTAAGAGTGGAAAGGAGCCGAAACTGTTTTGGCTCAGTGGTAGAGCATCAGTCTGTGGACTGAAAGGTCCCAGGTTCGATTCCGGTCAAGGGCATGTACATTGGTTGCGGGCACATCCCCGGTAGGGGGTGTGCAAGAGGAAGCTGGTCAATGTTTCTCTCTCATTGACGTTTCTAGCTCTCTATCCCTCTCCCTTCCTCTCTGTAAAAAAATCAATAAAATATATATTTTAAAAAAGAGTGGATAGGAAGGGGGAGAGAGAGAGAGAGAGAGAGAGAGAGAGAGAGAGAGAGAGAGAGAGAGAGAGAAACATTGATATGAGAGAGACATATTGGTTGCCTCCCGCACATGGGGCCAGGGATCGAGCCAACAACTGAGGTACATGCCCTTGATCAGAATTGAACCCAAGACCCTTGAGTCCTTGGACTGACACTCTATCCACTGAGCCAAACCAGCTAGGGTTAATTATTTTAATTTGAAACTATTACAACAGGATGAGTTTTCCATATCTTATTTTTTTAAATAAATCTTTATTGTTCAGATTATTACAATTGTTCCTCTTTTTTCCCCCCATAGCTCCCACCCCACCCTCTGCCCTTACCTGCCCCCCACTGTCCTCATCCATAGGTATACAATTTTTGTCCAGTCTCTTCCCGCACTCCCCACACCCCTTTTCCCCCAAGAATTGTCAGTGCACTCCCTTTCTATGCCCCTGATTCTATTATATTCACCAGTTTATTCTGTTCATTAGATTTTTAATTCACTTGATTTTTTAGGTTCACTTGTTGAATAATTTTTTTTATATAACCAGTGTTTCTTTCTCATAGACTGCCTTGCCATCCAGGAAAGGATTTCGGCACCAAACCACCAAGTTTTTATACCGTTTAGTGGGATCGGAAGACTTGGCTGTGGACCAGAGTATTATCAGCCCTTATACTTCTCGGATCTTGAAACCGTACATCAGGTATATGGAGAAGAGTGTGATGTTGAGTGTGTCATGAGAAGTAATGTTTGTGATTTCTGCTCTCCGTCTCTCTGCTGGAGTGAAGAAATACCAAAACCTGTGAGCAGCAGTCATCAAGGGCTGAGTCTGTGCTGTGTCTAGCCTCAGCCTTGACTTGTTTCAACTGTACTTGTTTGCAGAAAGGATGGTCCTTTGGTAAAAACATAAAAAGCAAGGATAAGTTAACTCTGTTTGATATCATTATGATGATCATATTCACTGTTTCAATTAAAATTTTAAAGTTGTATATATTTAGTAGTCTGTGAAGTAGAAAAAATAGGAATGATGTCTCAGTTGGACCCATGTCTGGACTGGATGTTGGGACAGTTTCTAATGATGAATCTATGGCGAGTGAGGAACCGTTTTTCTGCCAAAGGCCATTTGGATATTTATAACATCATTTGTGGGCCATACAAAATTATCATCTTAAAAATTAGCCTGCTTTATTTAGTCAAACATTTAATTAGCTCACCCCTAATGTATTGGCAGGGCCAGACCAAATGATTTCAGGGGCATATATGTCCAAGGGGCCCGACATTCCCTACTCCTGGCTAGGCTGTGCCGCAAAGCTGAGCTGACAAGAGAGGCCCCAGTGCAATCTTGGATGTGGTGACAGAGTACATGGTCTTCGTTAATCATACTTGTTCTGCAGCTCATAGTCAACCTGCTCCCTACACAGCACTGCCTCCCAGACAGACACGTGACCAGGCTGCTTTGCTTCTCCTGGTGTCTGGTGGTCTGCAGCTGCCCTGGCAGGGTTGGATCTCCCCTGCCTGGACTCTGTCTTGGTCAGAGCACTGAGGGTTAAATTAGGATGCTTTTTGTTTCTTCACTCTGTTCATAACCCTCACCAGGACCAGTAGAGTTTCTACGGGTACAGTGGGGTTTGGACTGACAAATGTTGAAAGAGTAAATTTTAAATTTATACCAAAAAGTCCTGTAGCTGTTGTCAAGCTAGTTGTCGTATAAAGTAGTGCAAATTAATTCAAGATTTCAAGCAGATCAGAGTTTGGATGAATCAAATGGCTAGGAATAATATTGAGTATTTTTTTTTTTTTTTTACTTAAATTTGTTTATTTTCTGTGGTACTGGAGGCGCGATTATGAAACAAAGCCACCCAAACTGCAGCTCCTGTCACAGATTCGTTATCACCTGCACAGAAATGACCCTCACTGGATGCCGGAGCCCGATGCACCTCTTGATTACTGCTATGTCCGGCCAAATCACATCCCAACCATCAACTCTATGTGTCAGGAGTTTTTCTGGCCTGGTATGTTCCCCTTCTCAAACTGGGCAGATGGGTTTTTCTATAGAGTAAATTTTAATAATTTTTAAAATTAGTGTATGTCATGTAACTCTAACACTTTACTTAAGATTTTATTGTTTGTCTGTACTAATATAGAAATATTAAAATATAAGTATCTCTTTCTTTCCTAAGATCAAGAGAAAGCCTGCATTTAAATTAATAAACAGTGTTTTTGTTTGTTTTTCTTCCCTATTTGCCTCTGCTTCCAGAATTAAAAGATTCATCCTGCTTGCTTCTACATATGTTTAGATATCAGGTAATATCTATCAGATAAACACAGACTGGTAGCCAGGGCATATGGACCCTTTTGAATTTGCTTAATAATTCTGTATGCTTTGCTTACTTAGCTGTTACTTAGAAAGTATTAGTAGAGCCAAAAGGGATTGTTTTTTTTTTTGTTGTTGTTGTTTTAAATAATTTTTTATTGTTCATATTATTACAAATGTTCCTTTCCCCCCCCTCCATTGCTCTCCTCCACCAGGTTCCCCCCCCACCCTCTGCCCTTTCCCCACCCCCCATTATCCTCATCCATAGGTGCACAGTTTATGTTCAGTCTCTTCCCACACCCCCCTCTCCCCTTTTCCCCAAGAATCGTCAGTTCACTCCCCTTCCATACCTCTGATTCTATTATATTCAACAGTTAATATTGTTCATCAGATTTTTTTTTTTAATTTCCTTGGTTTTTAGATTCACTTGTTGATAGTTATATATTTGTTGTTCATAATTTTTATCTTTATTTACTTTCTCTTCTGAAAGAACCCCCTTCAGCAATTCATATAATTCTGGTTTGGTGGTGATGAACTCCTTTACCTTTTTTTTTTTATTAGTGAAACTCTTTATCTGACCTTTGATTCTGAGTGATAGCTTTGCTGGGAAGAGTATTTTTGGCTGTAGGTTCTTGCTATTCATCACCTTGAATATTTCTTGCCATTCCCGTCTGGCCTGCATGGTTTCTGTTGAGAAATCAGCTGACAATCGTATAGGTGCTCCTTTATAGGAAACTACCTGCTTTGCTCTTGTTGCTTTTAATATTCTCTCTTTGTCTTTTGCTCTTGGAATCTTAATTATGATTTGTCTTGGTGTGGTCCTCTCTGGATTCCTTTTGTTTGAAGTTCTGTGCACTTCCTGGACTTGTAAGCCTAATTCTTTCACCAGGTGGGAGAAGTTTTCTGTCACTCTTTCAGTATGTTTTCAATATCTTGCTCTCTCTCATCTTCTGGGAACCCCATAATTCTGATGTTGGTTCACTTGAAGTTGTCCCAGAGGTTTCTTACATTATCTTCAATTTTCTTGATTCTCTTGCCTTCTTGATTCTGCAGAGGAGTGTCTTCTGGCTCTTTATGTTCCAAATCTTCGACTTGATTCTTGCGATCTTCCATTCTGTTTTTAGGACTCTATATAATATTTTTTATTTCAGACAATGTATTCTTTATTTCTTGTTGATCCCTTATCATTTCTTGTTGATCCCTTATTAATTCTAGTTGATCCCTTTTCATATCCTCATAGGTCTTATCGACCTTTTCTAGGAAATTCTTGAAAAACCTTATAAGCGTAGATTTGAACTCTATATCCAGTCGCTTTTTGTCCTCCATTTCTTTCGTTTGTGATCTATTTCCTTGTCTCGGCATTTTCACAGCTTCCCTGATGGGACGGGGGGGGGGGGGGGGGGGGGGGGTGGGGGTGTGTGTTTTTCAGGGTGGAGCCTACAGCCCTGGCTTCCGTCAGCCCTGCCCTATGCAGTTCCTGAGTCTCAGTAATCCCCAGGGTCCTTCAGTACTCATTGCAAGCACCTCTGAGAGAAAGGTGCCCTCGATTTTCACCTGCTACCAAACAGTCTAGGCTCTCCCCAATGAACCCGGAACTGGGGTTCAGTTCAGTTGGAAGTGGAGTTGGAGGTGGTGTTCAGAGCAATCCGGAGCTTTTGTCTCCTTCCCACCAGGCAATCCCGCGGCACAGCCAACCATCCCTTCTCTGCATGCAATGTGCGCGCCTCCGGACCTCCTTTCGCCGCTTCCCCGGAGTCCCGCCTTACAGCGCAGCTCCCTATGGCTGAGCCTGGGTCCCCAGGGTCTGGCCTAGAATTGGGGTTCAGAGCAGTTGGAGCTGGGCCCAGCACAGTCGGAGCTTTTCTCTCCTTCCCGCTAGGGAACGCCAGCCAGGCCCTCAGCCTCCCTCCTCTCCGGCTCTGTCCTCTCCGCGCGCGCCGTGTGTCTCTGTACCTTAGGCTTTTACAGCTCCTCCGCGCTTCCTTCTGGTTTTCTCCTTGCTTCTCATTGTAGAATTTCCAGTCAGTCGACTTTCCTGTAGTTCTGGGTAATGTCCATTTTATATTTTAGTTGTATTTTATTGAAATTGTTGTGTGCTGCGGCTAGGTGTTTACCTGTGCAGCCATCTTGGATTCTCCCAAAAGGGGTTTTTAAAAAGCCAAATACCCCAGTCATAGACTTTAACCCATTATGATTTGTCATTTTATTAGCATTAATGTACTGACTATCTCTAATGACCAGAGCCATCAATTAAAGAGGAGCATTTTCATTGTTAAATATAAACACACTTTTTGTGGATTTGCTTTACCACTATGCTTTGAAATAGAAAGGGGGAAATACATCTTCCAGATGTTAGATAAGATTCATCGGGATGAGAGCTTTGTCATCCTTATTGTCTGGCAATCATGTAGTAGTGCGTGTGGTGGCAGAGCTGTGCTTGCTCTTTTGAGAGTGTATGGGGGCTGAAGGAACATTCTGGGAACATTTACCATTTCCTGCCTGTACACTAGGTGGCTTCCATCTGCTATGCAAGGACTCATTTCTTATTTAACCTTTTTATTGTAAAATGTAGTGTTTGTACAAATGAGCTTACAATTGAATATGTCTGAGGTAAAGAATACAATGATATGGACACTCTCAAGGGATCTTCCCTCCAACTCTGAGGAGGTCTAGGGACTCTCACCTTAAACATTGTAGAAACGAAGGCCAAGACATTTAGAGATGTGCCCACTGATACATGTGGCAAGGAGCCTGAGCTCAAAACAGGTGTGTCCAGTTCTGACCCTGTTCACTCTGCTCCCCCCCTCCCCCACATCCTGCCTCTCCGTTTTTTAACATGTGTACTTAGAAAAGATGATGATAAGTTTGGTATATTCTAAAATTCACTTTTAATTTCTAATTTTATGATCTGAATGTGTGGTGTCTGTGGTACTATCTTTGTCTCATTTTGTTTTGTTTTGTTTTTCCTTAGCACACAGGTGTAGCTGCAAGTACAGACCGAACAGTTTGGTGTTTATTAGTTTCAAAAGGCACATGGTTTGAATCTCTGATTGTTTCTTTTCCTTAGGCATTGACCTTTCTGAGTGCCTGCAGTACCCAGACTTCAGTGTTGTTGTCCTGTATAAAAAAGTTATCATTGCTTTTGGCTTCATGGTTCCTGACGTGAAGTACAACGAAGCTTACATTTCATTTCTGTTTGTTCATCCTGAATGGAGAAGAGCAGGGATTGCAACTTTCATGATTTATCATCTGATTCAGGTATGTGTTCTGTGTTCATCTTCTACCCACTTGCTTCTGGGCTCTTTGGAGAGAATTGGAGGAGGGGTGAATCTGAGTGGGGCCCTTCCAGCACAGCCCAATGGAATATGAGACCAAGTGACAGGAAGCCAGTCACCATCATTTGTGAGGTTATTAAAACACACAGACAAAAATCTTTACCTCTCTAAAATAAGATTGCTATTTATTTTTTTGTTAATCCTCATCCAAGGATATTTTTTCCCATTGAGTTTTAGAGAGAGTGGAAGGGAGGGAAAAGGAGGAAAGGCAGAGAGAGAGAGAACATCAGTGTGAGAGAGACACATCAATTGGTTGCCTTCTGCAAGCAGTGGGATCAAACCTGCAATCCAGGTACATGCCCCTTGACTGGGAATCAAACCTGTGATCTTTAGCTGACGCTCTAACCATTTAACAGCACCATTCAGGGCTAAGATTGCTATTTAGACCTAGGTTTTAAAGAAGTGAATTTGTATAGTAAATAAAAAGAAAATGCCAAAGGGAAAGCATTAAACACTTGTACTATCCATGTTGGTAATGCTGCTGCTCTTAAAATCAGCAGCGCCACAACTCTGACATGGAGATGGAACTATGATGTTTTTAGTTTTAAGCGTTTTAAAATATTTAGCCAAGCTGTATCAGTCAGTATTACATAGTCTGTAATTCTTGATTGTTTTTTCATTTTACCCATCACTTTATAAGCTGGTAATGAACCTTCAAAGATTTGATTCTAATGTCGAATTATAATTCATCCTTTGATATATCTGGATTGCTTTGAAGAAAGTATACTATATATTTACATACTAACATCAGAAAAACATTCAACGATTTTTGTTTTCACCCAGAATTTTTCTGGTAACTTTTATTTAGAAACCAACTGGTATAGACAATTTTGTATTACTGGTCAAAATTCCTTTTTGGTTTTGGATTTTTTTTTTTTTTTTTAGATATAATCGACATAAAACGTTATATGAATTTCAAGTGTACAAACATAATGATTTAATTTTTGTATATGCTGCAAAACAATCACTACATTAAGTCTAGTTATCATCCATCAACATACATACTTATAAAATTTTGTGTTTCTTGTGATGAGAAGTTTTAAGATTTACTCTCTTAGCAGCTATCAAATATGCCGTGTAGTATTATTAGATATAGTTGCCATGCTATACATTACATCTCATGACTTACCTATAACTAGGTGTTGGTACCTTTTGATTCCCTTCATCCATTTTGTCCACCCTCTACTTTTCTTCCCCCCACCCCCCCAATCTCTGGCAACCACTTGTCTGTTCTGATTCTATAAACTTGGTTTTTAGGATTTCTTTCAAATAGAGGATGGAGTTGATAAAGTGTTTATCCAATTTTTAATGAAACTTGCTCAGTAATTCCCAAGTGTTGGCCAGAACCTTGAGAACCATCTTGTAGAAATTGCTTTCTTTTCACCTCTCTCAGCAGTTAATATGTGCTACCTTGTATTGTCATGGACTGAGACCTTCTCAGTTATTTCTACAACACCCCCTTTTTCTCTGCCCACTTCACTCACAGATTGACCTCTACTCTGCGTTCCTCCTGTCCTAGCGGACCGCCTGCAGGATTTCTGCCTTTCCCTTCACTGGCAAGGACTTGGGAGCAGGGCAGGGATGACAGTTTATGCGTGTGCTTGTCACAGGCCTGACCCAGGCAGTCCCCACAGAGCATTTCCTGGGTTGGAGGAAGAGTATTCGTCTTTGTTAGTAGGTATTTAGCCCATAGCCCAGACCCAGACACAGTCTTCCTCAGTCAAATCACTCAGTGTTGGCCTAGGTCAGACTGTGCATATTTGCAGTGGAAAGAATACTAGCCTTACCTCAGTACACATTCTTGCCCTTGATGTACTCAATGCAGATTTGAATTAAACAGAGAGTGGAAGGGAGTCGTCTGCCTTTGACAGAGTTCTTAATTGAGGCCTTGGAGGAAACCATGGGCTATAATGTCTTAAGGACCCAATCAACCTCAGTATTTCGGTGCCTTTTTCATTAAAGGAAGTTCTTTATTCATATTACTTTTGGCTACTTCAGTCTGGGTACCTAATTAAAGAATCTAAGGACTTGCCTTGTATTGGTAGAATGATTATTACTCTTTTTCCCTAGGATTGGGCAATGATAAGTATAGAAATCTCAGATCTGAGAAGTGAATTCTGTCACTTTGAGGTGGACTTTAGGATTTTGTAGGTCTATATAGATTCTTCAGGTTTTATAATTAAATGAAAGTCCTAATATTTCATATTTGGTCACATAATTTAACATCTAGTTGTTAAAAGCAGAATTAACTTTGTTCACTATTTCTTCAAAATGTTTATAGAGTTTGATATAAGTATGTTTGACATTTAAATGTAATTGAATTATAAATAATATAGTTGATAATGAAATATCTCCCTTGGCCCTTCGCTTCTGAGAGAAAAAAGAATGCTCAGCATGCCATCAATTTTCTCAGTGTTGATGAATGCTTCAGGGAATGTTTTGATCAGTGGCAAAGTGTCATTCGGTTTCCAGCTGTTGCCAGGTGTTGCGAAGTCTCAGCTTCAGTCCCTGACATCTCTGGTTTCCAGAACTAACTACCTCCTCTTAGAAGAGTTTCTTCACCTACTCATTTTCCCTCGGGCTTTCTCCTTTTCATCTTGTATTTTTCCACTCTTTTGGCAGACCTGCATGGGCAAGGATGTAACTCTTCACGTCTCAGCAAGCAACCCAGCAATGCTGCTGTACCAGAAGTTTGGATTCAAGACTGAGGAGTATGTTTTAGATTTTTATGATAAGTATTACCCCTTGGAGAGCACAGAGTGTAAACATGCGTTCTTTCTGAGGCTCCGACGCTGATGGGACTTAAATAGAGCTCTTCACAGAGAAACACGTATGCTTCTACAGACAGGTCTTCACATAGACCTTACTCATTGCACTGTGAGTCTAATCTCTGCGATTAGATATTCATCGAAACTCTCAACTAAGATGAGAAAAGAGGTGGGCGGTGGAATGAGTAGTGACCAGCCCGACAGGAAGATCACTGTGTCCAGTCCTTTCAGGAGAGGCCTTCACCCCACATTTTGGGACTCCACAGTTAACTGACACTGAGATGCTGCTGTCCTCCTTCCATTGGACAGTTTGTAAGATTAAAAGTATCTAAACTGATACTATTGGTGAGAAAGAATCCGACTGTCCTAATTTAAAGAATGAGCAAATGCGATCACTGTTAAAGATTCATGCAGAGTTCTGGGACGATGAGAGATTATGAAATGGTTATGTAAAGGGATGCCAACCCTTTCCCCAGACTTCATGTGTTGTCACTGAACCCAGCAGGACTTTTAAGTCACGGAGGTTCTGTTGTGTCTCTCTGTCTTTGGTCACAGTCGAAATAAACTAAGTGCCGTGTCTGTACATTACTTAGCCTGTTCTGTTAGCATCTCCCACCAGAGAGTGGCCTGGGAGTGGATGGTCTCAGCCTCCCTCTTCCTGTGAAGTTGGTTTGTTGTTGGAGTGGCTGAGCCTGGAGGAAGGTGTGCTGGGGGCAGAGCTGTATGGTCTGCAGGACTAGGCTGTTTGGGGGGGGGGGGGGGGTGTTGGAGGAGATGGACTCTTTTTTTGTTGTTTTTTTATTTATTCACAAAGTATTTACTAATAGTTAATACATCCCAGACATTTTTTATGGTATTTGGAAGGTTAACACAATAAAAGTGAGTTCTCAGAATGCTCAGGCTAAGAGAGAATCATGAAAATGGGGAAATTATAAATGACCCCCTGAAAGTTGGCAGGAAATGTGTAACTCGTAAAGGCATTGCTCCCAGGGATATATTTGATGCAAATTTCCTGGATTACACACAGTTATTTTGCTCATTATATTCCACCCATGAGTGTGATACTTGTCTTTTTCTGACTGGCTTATTTCACTTAGCGTAATACTCTCCACGTCCCTCATGCTATCTCAAAGGGTAAGAGAGCCTTCTTTATCGCAGCTGCATACTATTCCATTGTGTACCACATCTTTTTTTTTATCCACTTATCTGATGGGCACTTGGGCTGTTTTGGAACTTAGCTATTAAGAATAGCACTGCTATGAACATAAGGGTGCATATATTCTTTCTGATTGGTGTTTCAGGATTCTTAGGATATCTGGATCAAAAGGCAGTTCTATTTTTTTATTTTTTGAGGAAACTATATTGTTTTCCATATTGGCTGTACCAGTCTGCATTTCCACCACCAGTGTACCAGGGTTCCATTTTCTCCACATCCTCACCAACACTTGTCATTTGTTGATTTGTTGATAGCCATTCTGACAAGTGTGAGATGATACCTCATTGTCATTTTAATTTGATGATTAGTGACTTTCAGCATTTTTTCATGTGTCACTTGGCAATCTGTATGTCCTCTTTGGAGAAGTGTCTATTTAGGTTCTTTTCAATTTTTTGTTTGTCTTTTGTTAAGTGGTATGAGTTCTTTATATATTTTGGAAATTAAGCTCTTATCAGGTATATCATTGCCAAATATGTTCTCCCTTACAATGGGATCCCTTTTCATTTTGTTGGTTTCTTTTGATGTGCAGAAGCTTGTTATTTTGATATAGTCTTATTTGTTTATTTTTTCCTTTATTTCCCTTGCCCTAGGAGATGTATCAGCAAACATGTTTCTCCGAGAGGTGTTTGAGATTTTACTACCTATGGTTTTTTCTAACAACTTACAGTTAAGTCTTTTACCCATTTTGAGTTTTTTCTTGTGTATGGTATAAGTTGTGATCTAGTTTAATTTTTTTTGCATGTACCTGTCCAATTTCCCCAACACCATTTATTGAAGATACTATCTTCACTCCATTGTATGCTCATGCAAATGGCTTTCTAGATGTGAAGAGGAAAGTTGTCCAGGCTTCCTGGCGGAAGCTGCTTTTAGAACTCAGATAGCAATGCCTGTTCTACACTGAGCACTGAGCTCAAGTAGAGCCTGGTGTGCTAAGAAGGTCTTTCACATCTGACAGCCTTCAGAAAGATGCCGGCAAGTATTACAGCATTCCCACTGCTGCACTGCAGGACAGAGCAGCAGGGTCATGGGAAAGTGGAGGTACTTCAGTCTGGGACCAGTTACTCAGAGCCTTATAGGTTGTGCATCTCAACATTCACCAGAACTATGTGACAACAAAAAGAATAAATGATGTCTTTGCTACCTATCGCTACATAGGAAACCACCACAAAATCTAGTGGTTTAACGCCATACCAGTTTATTATCTCGGAATCTGTGGTTCTGGGCAGTTCTCTTCACATGGTGCCGGCTGGGTCATTGGCGCAGCTGCCGTCACCTGGGAGCTCAGATGGAGGTGCTGGCCAGGGATATGATTCTCTCCCAGGTGGGTGTCTTGGAATGGTGGCTGGGTTTCAGAAAGGAGCATTCTTCCAACATTTCAGGAGAACAAACCCAAATTGCAAGTGCTTGTCAAGCCTTTGCTTATACTATGCTTACTACTAACCCATTAGCTGGGGCCAGGCACCTGCCTAAGCTTCTAGTCCACATGGGAGGGCTTCAAAAGGACAAACAACTTACCTCAAGTTAGTTTCTGTTACTAGCTACCAAAGAGGCTTCTCTAACCCAGAAGAGCCAATCACTGTGGATATATGGGTCTAATTCTTCCAAGGCCTTGTATGCACACAAGTCCTTGCATATGCCAACTTTTTCCCATGTACTAATTTTTTATATGAATTGTGATCATACTGTATCTTGTTCTATTATATATTTTTTTCTATTTTTTAAGTGATCGTAGCATTCCAAGTTGTCAAACGTTTTTTATATATGTTTTTATTGACTTCAGAGAGGAAGGAAGAGGGAGAGAGAAGTAGAAACATAAATGATGAGAGAGAATCATTGACTGGCTGCCTCCTGCATGCTCCCCACTGGGGATTGAGCCTGCAACCCAGGCATGTGCCCTAACCAGAAATTGAATTGTGACCTCGTGGTTCATAGGTTGATACCCAATCACTGAGCCATGCCAACTGGGCTCAAATATTTTTTAAAAATCATGTATGATAGGATTGCATTTGATTACAGGAGTGTACATAATTTAAAAAAACAAACAAAAAGCCCTTGTTTCAATTTTACCATTGTAAAGAGTACTGTATTGAACATTCTTGGAGCTAAATCCAGATAACTATCCATGACTTTCTTTAGAACACATTCCCAGAAGTGGAATCGCTATATTAAAGGGGATAACATGTCTCAAAGTACAATGAATAGTAATAATAATAATGCCTAGGGTTGGCTGTTTCTCATGCATACATCATTCTAAGAGCCTTGAATGACTCAGAAATATATTTAGGACTCACAACAGCTCAGTGGGGGAGGTACTATTATGATTCTCATTTTTCCAGTGGAAAAAACAAACAAACTGAGACACAGAGAAATTTACAGTAACTTAAAATCTCACAGCTAGTAACTGGCAGGGCCTAACAGTCTGCTCCAAAACCTTTACATTAACTATAAAAATATTTTTTTAATTTATAATTTAACCCATTGCACTTATATCTCCAATTCTTGCTTTTCTTTTGTTTTGGTTTTTTTTTGTTTTTTGTTTTTATCTGTATTTATTTATTAACATAATCTTAGAAAAACAAATGCAGTTATTTGTGTAAACTATATCAAACTTCATTTTTCAGTTTGCTTTTTGACATACTATGATGTTATTTTATTATATGATTGCTTTAATTTTTGCTTTTTATGGTGAAGTAGGAATTTTTTTAAATAAATTTTTATTGTTCATATTATTACAAATGTTCCTTCCCCCCCCCCCTTCCCACCCCACCCTCTGCCCTTTCCCCACCCCCCATTGTCCTCATCCATAGGTGCACAGTTTATGTTCAGTCTCTTCCCACATCCCCCCTCCCCTTTTCCCCAAGAATCATCAGTTCACTCCCCTTCCATACCTCTGATTCTATTATATTCAACAGTTACTATTGTTCATCAGATTTTTTTTTTTAATTTCCTTGGTTTTTAGATTCACTTGTTGATAGTTACGTATTTGTTGTTCATAATTTTTATCTTTATTTACTTTCTCTTCTGAAAGAACCCCCTTCAGCAATTCATATAATTCTGGTTTGGCGGTGATGAACTCCTTTAGCTTTTTCTTTATTTGTGAAGCTCTTTATCTGGCCTTCGATTCTGAGTGATAGCTTTGCTGGGTAGATTATTTTTGGCTGTAGGTTCTTGCTATTCATCACCTTGAATATTTCTTGCCATTCCCGTCTGGCCTGCATGGTTTCGGCTGAGAAATCAGCTGACAATCGTATAGGTGCTCCTTTATAGGTAACTACCTGCTTAGCTCTTGCTGCTTTTAATATTCTCTCTTTGTCTTTTGCTCTTGGAATCTTAATTATGATTTGTCTTGGTGTGGTCCTCTTTGGATTCCTTTTATTTGGAGTTCTGTGTGCTTCCTGGACTTGTAAGTCCAATTCTTTCACCAGGTAGGGGAAGTTTTCTGTCACTATTTCTTTCAGTATGTTTTCGATATCTTGCTCTTTCTCATCTTCTGGGACCCCCCATAATTCTGATGTTGGATCATTTGAAGTTGTCCCAGAGGTTTCTTACATCATCTTCAATTTTCTGAATTCTCTTGCCTTCTAGCTTCTGCAGAGGAGTGTCTTCTGGCTCTTTATGTTCCAAATCTTTGACTTGATTCTTGCGATCTTCTATTCTGTTTTTAGGACTCTGTATAATATTTTTTATTTCAGACAATGTATTCTTTATTTCTTGTTGATCCCTTTTCATATCCTCATAGGTCTCATTTATTTTATCGGCCTTTTCTAGGAAACTCTTGAAAAACCTTATAAGTGTGGTTTTGAACTCTATATCCAGTCGCTTTTTGTCCTCCATTTCTTTCGTTTGTGATCTATTTGGTTTAGGCATTTTTGCAGGCAGCTTTCCTGATGGGGCGGGGTTTCAGGCTGGAGCCTACAGCCTTGGCTTCCATCCGCCCGAACTTATGCAGGTCCTTCAGTGCTCGCTGCTGGCACCTCTGAGAGAAAGGTGCCCTCAATTTTCGCCTGCTACCAAACAGTCTAGTCTCATCTCTCTCCCAATGGGCCCGAAACTGGGGTTCAGTTCAGTTGGAAGTGGAGTTGGAGGTGGCGTTCAGAGCAGTCTGGAGCCCCTGTCTCCTTCCCACCGGGGCAATCCCGCAGCACAGCCGACCATCCCTTCTCTGCGCAATGTGCGTGCCTCCGGGACCACCTTTCGCTGCTCCCCTGGGTTCCACCTTACAACCCAGCTCCCCCTGTGTGAGCCTGGGTCCCCGGGGTCTGGCCTAGGACTGGGGTTCAGAGAGGTTGGAGCTGGGCCCAGCACAGTCGGAGCGTTTATCTCCTTCCTGGAGGGAACACCAGCCAGGCACTCAGCCGCCCTCC